TGTAAAGTCCTCTGGAGAGGCAAGCATCTTTTGGCTGCAGAGGAGCTTGCACACTGTAAAACGCGTTGTGACTTGCAAAGCGTTTTGTAAATGTCGCCGCATTAAGGAGGCTATTGGAGATCAGCTTTTTATAATCCGAAAAGCACTTCAAAATCATAAATCACTTGGGAGACCGCAGAGCTCTTTGTCAAGGCTCTCTAGACTGGTGAGGGCTGTGCGAGTCTGAGACAAGTGGCCTTTCAAAGCCACGGGCCAGAAGCAGGGTGGGAGTGGGTAGAGAGAGAAGCTGGACCCGGAGGATGGCAACAGCAGCCCGTTCCCCTCCGCTCTGGCCGCCACCCATGCCAGCCGGCGCAGAGAAATTCCGGCAGCTCTGCAGATTCCCGCGACTCTGAGGCCAGGGAGCCCTCGCGGCTCTGCTGACTCAGCCAAACAGGATGAGTTCAGCAGGAAAAGGCCCCATCTTCCTCTCCTTGGTGCCTCGTCCTTTTCCCATTTTTCTACCACAAAGGCACCGAACCTGCCACCATTTAAAGATTTCCCTGGGGGTGGCCCCTCCGGCTGGGGAGGTGGTGAGCCCCGGGGGTTGCCCCATGACCTTGCTCTGAGGCCCCGACTTGAGCCTGCTCTGGAGACCCAGCCCGGAGTGCCTGCTGCCCCCCATGTTGACAGAGTAGCAGGGGTTCAGGGCTGAGGGCGGGTGGAGGCCACTGACTTCAAACAGCTGAGGGGGCAGTGCAAAGGTCCTGGGGCTGTGTAATTTCTGGGGTCCAATCCCTGCTCTGCTACATTCTCATCTCTGACCTTGAGCAGGTTCCCTTCTTCTCTGAGCCCGGAGTCCCTCAGCCATAACGTGGACTGATATGCTCATTTATGTATATGTCATTGGGTGGCCCGGTGTGCAGGCAAATTCTGTCCCTTCTCCTATCTACAGGCCTGCAAGCCTTCTAATAAGTGACAAGTAGGAGATGAGGCAGCTTCTATAGGAGAGGGGTGATAAGCATGGGATTTTAAATCATAAAGACCTGGATTCAAATCCTGGCTCTGCGACATACAGCTGTGCATCTTTAGGCACCTCTCGGAGCCTCCATTTCCTCAGCTATAAAAGGAGCATCACAATAGTCACTACCTCGTAAAAAGTTGGTGAAATTCAAAGACACCATGTGTATGGCATGCATGGCACAAAATCTGGCACACGCCATCCATGGTAACTATGATCTCCCCCGAACCTATTTTGGGAACCCCGTTGTCCTCCATAATGCCAGGCACTTCTCCTTCAGGGGCCTCCTCCCCTTTGCCTTCCATGTAACCCACATGGCAGCTGGGGCCCTTGGCCCTCTGGATCCAGCTAGAGCCCTCCGCCCCTGGAGTTTCCACGAACCCCTACACCTCTTTTCCAAGCTCCCTCTCCCCCTCGTCCCTGGACTGCGTGGTGTGACCCCACAGTGCCACTCAACTCTTCTTTGAGCCCCTCATGCAAAGCCTGCACGAGCAACACACCCTTTGCTGCAGATTTCACAGACAAAGGAGAGTCTACACCACAGCCACACAGACGAGGTGAACAGGTGTCATCAGAATCCCTGCTCCCGTGCGGTCCCCCTGTCCTCTGAGCTCATCCCAGGCTCTCCCCCTCCTGCCTGATCTTCTTCTCTTCCTCTCCTTTGCAGAAACAAGACATCAACATTTCCCCTCCTGTCGTATAACTCATTTTTCTGAACAAAGCCAGTCTCTTCCCAGGAATTGAGGTGAAGGCAAGTTTTCTTCACCTAGTTGCATCTGTTGGTCCACCCACCGTGTCCTTTGTTCACGGTCGTATCCCCAGCACCCAGCCCAGTATTTGGCCCCCAGTAGGCAGCTCCGAAACACATGGTGAGTGCATGAACGCATGAGCGGGACAGGGGCTACGGAGGCAGGGGAGAAGAGAGGCTGCCCTCTGGGGTTGTCCAGTGCCTTCCGCTCTCAGAGCTCAGTTCTGTGGCAAGGGAACTAATTCAGGAAGAGGCTGAAGCTGATGCATGTCCATTTCCAACCCCGGAAACAACCCCACACCAACACATTCTCAGCTTCTTCGAGGGCCAAGGGGATATTAGCACTTGGGGGTCGTTCTTTAGGGTCTGACGTTTTCCCGTCAGCCACTGCCTCACCTGAGGGGCACCAAACGTGACAAAGAAATAGGGCAGTGGTTCCCGGGACCCGCTGCTTGTCAGAATCCCCTGGAAAGCTTTTAATCACCAGAGCCACTTGAACCCCTTCCCCCTTCCCTCAGATTCTGATTCAAATGATCCAACGTGGGGCCTGATGACTGATTTTTAAAAAAAATCCTAGTTGGTTCAAATATATATATGAGACAGAGAAAGGGGCTGGATCTATGAATGCCTGTGGGGTTTCCACAGGAAGCCCCCCCAGGGATCAGGCAGTCTGTGGGCTGGTGGGCTGGGGTGAGGGCCTGGCAGGATGGTGGAGAAGAAGGTATGATGGAGCCACTGGGGACTTGAGTTTGAATCCCAATTCTACTATGTCCCAGATCTGTGACCTTGGGCGAGTCTTCACCTGTCTGAGCTTCAGTTTTCTCCTCGGTTAATAGGCAATCAGGATTTCTGCCTCACAGGTTGGTTGGGAGCAATCAGTAGGAGAGTGTCATATGTAACTACCTGACACTGGGCCCAGCCTAGTGTTGGTGATCCATGAAGTGTGGTTCTGTTGCTTTCCTGAGCAAGTTCCATATGGGAGGGGAAGACAAGCATGTTCCTAATGCTGGCCTAAGTCCCTGATGGGAAGAACACAGGACTGGGAGAAAGGCGTGGGCTTGTCCTAGTTCTGGCCCGTCATGATGTATGACCCCTGCCATGTGCCGCTCTCTGAGCCTCAGGCTCCTCATCTGTAAATAGAGATCCAGAGGTGTGTACATCTCTCCACAATTCTGTTAGTTGCATCACGTTAGTAACTTGAAATTGGCCACGGTGGGAGCATTTACAACAAAGAAATTGGAAAATATTACAGATCAGGACTCCACCCACCCGCACCGGTCAATTTACCGGCACGTCGCTGGAACTCAGATAATGATACATTTCATCATGGTTGTTGGGAGATTCAGAGAGCTATTGCCTGATAAGAACATAGCACAGCACCTGGACACTAATACAAGCTCATTAAACACACACATTTATCAGCCATCACTGTGTTTCTGGCCTGGTGTAAGGTGATCACATCTGTCACCTCATATAACCATAACAACCCTAGGAAATTCCCAGAGGAGGAAATTAAGGCTCAGACAGGCTTGCTGACTTCAAATGCAATTAAATTTTGCAGGCCTACTACGTGTTAAGTTTATTCTTATATGTCCCTCTCATTTCAGCCTCACAACCCTCTTTATCTCATTGCAGATGAGGAATCACAGCCTCAGAATGGGCAGGTGACCTGCCCAAGGTCACATGTTGAGCCCAAAGCCTTCGTATCTGTCTTGAACCTGCATGTGTCAGTCTCCACCTCTGTCGGGCTCTCTCCCCACCGCATCCAGCTGCATCCCCTTCTGGAGGAGGGCGAGCTTTGCTGATATGATCTCTCTGGCCCTTTCCTGCTCTGATATCCTCCGTATTTAAATCAGCACATGAATATTTCACAAGCATCCCAGGCGAAAATAACCCCCTGCCTGGTTATGTCAGGCTGCAGCCCCAGTCGCTAGGCCGAGGTGCTCCTGCTATTTGCGAGACATGCATTTCTGCGAGGCCTCCCAGCAGCAGCCAAGGAATCGATACCTTTTAAATAAGTAATTAGAGGAGCTGAAGACATGGGCACAGCCAGGAGCCGGCAGGGGAATATAAACTCATAACTCTCCCAGGTTCACTGTGCAAGGCCCAGTTCTGTTTCTTGGTCAAGAGATGTGACCTGGGGACTGGGGTGGGGTGAGAGATGGAGAGGTGCAGGGAAGAATAGGATGAAAACGACAATAATGGCTTTTACTGAGCACTTCCTTTGTGTCAGACTCTGTCTCATTATTGCCCTACCCAACATTCTCCTAAAGACATGGAAGCTCAGAGAGGGGAAGTCAGCTGCCCTGGGTCACACAGCTAGGAAGTGGCAGAGTTGGCAGACCTGTCTGACTTCAGAACAGTTTCTCAGCCTTGGTGCTATAAACATTTTGGGCTGGATAGTTCTTTGTTGCGGGCCATCCTGCGCACTGTAGGATGTTTAGCAGCATCCCTGGCCTGTACCCTCCAGATACCAGTAGCACATCTCCCCGACTTGCGACAATCGAAAATGTCTCCAGACATTGCCAAATGTCCCCTGGGGGTCAAAGTCGCCCCCAGTGGAGAGCCACTGCTTTAGAATCTGTGTTCTCTTTGTAACTCCTTTCCTCTGCTTCTGGTGGCTTTTAGAATAAGGATCAAAATCTTTCTCCCAACCAGGCTCCCTGCTTTGAAGCCAAAGCTGGTTAGGTAAGAACACCAACTTGCCTACTCCTTGGCTGTGTGACCTGGAGCAAGTTCTCCACTTCTCTGTGCCTCAATTTCCCTATCTGTAAGATGGGGGCTCCCAAAAGGTCATCACGAGGTTTAAAGAACTTCGTCTGTGCAAAGCATTTAGAACAGTGCCTAGTGCATAAGTGTGAGCACTGTTACAATCCAAGGGCCTGTATGATGGAGACCCAGCCCAAGACTGCAGCCTACTGGTACTGTTCTCCCCATAAGAAAGGGAAGAGGGATCTCACGGGAGCCTGGAAAGAAATTGTCTTTGACAACTTCTACTGTTCCTTTCTTCTCTGCTGCCTCCCCCTCCCGCCAGCCACGCAGGAGTTGGGGAAAACAGTAACAAGAATGGCCATTTAGTCCCACAGGATCACAAGGTAATCAGAACAAAAGCTGCCACTTCCTGTCTCCCCACGTGCTGTCTGCGTGGAGAGGGAGGTGGCGGCGCTGCATGCGGATTTACAAAAGCATCCGATTCGAACACAATTCCTTTTATTATCAAGGAAGCTATAAAAATACATATAAACAAACACATTTTATCACTGGAGTTGGTCATCACATTTTTATTGGTCTGTAGCGTGTGTTTTTGTTATACTGACGTCTGTTAGAAACAAGTTCCGGAACGCTGTCCTCATTTGGGTGCTTGGGAGAAACAGTATCCAGAAAGGCATTCCAGGCCTGTTCTTACAGAAACAGCGCCCAGTGCAGGAGCGTGCGTTTATGCGTGAGTGCGCGTGTGTGTACAGCTAAAATGTTCCTTTCCCCCAGAAGGAAGGGTCTCTCGGAGCTTCCCATGTCACATAGCCAAAGAATCTGAGGACTAGGACAGGGCAATGCTGTGTCCAGGCTCGTAGACCGACTTGGTTCAGCACCCATTTTCCGATGCCGTTAGTGAGCCCCAGCTGCTGTAACACGCCCCCAGTCTCAGTGACACAGTGGAGTTTCCTTCTTGTTCACGTGGCGGGTGTTCCTGGCTGGTGGCTGGACCTTCCACATGGTGATTCAGGGATCCAGCCTCCCTCCTTCTCGTGGCTGCACCCTCCCCTAGGGCCTCAGAATCATCTGCTTTCAGCTGGATGAGAGAAGAATTCGGAGGATTGCAGGTTTTTAAGGATCTTTATGGAGGTTTTTATGGGCCAGGCCTGGAAGTGACCCATGGCACTTCTGTCTATGTTCCATCAGCCAGCTGTAAGTCACATTCCACACCTAACTGCGAGGGAGGTTGGGAAATGTGGCCTGACTCTGTGCCCACGAGGAAGAGGAGACAGGTTGGCGAGTAGCTGGGCAGGTCCAGGTGCCAGGCCCTGGGCTGGAAGCTGCACGGGCAGAGACGAGGGGATGGGAGACCTGCCCTCATGAAGCTCGGGGTCTAGTGGGGGAGGAGGGGCAGCAGCAGATACAGGTCGCTGATGTCCCCAGCTTGAGGTTAGACTGAGCCCCTCCCATTGATCACCGGAAGTCCATTCACTTCTCTCTAGGGAGACCTCGCCCTGTGATAAACCCAAGACTCTTGGGGTCCTTGCTAACTCAGTCCAAAAGGAATCAACAGTCCTTGTTTCTAAAGGGTTGCAGAGAAGAAACTGGAATCCTGGTCCATTTCCCAAAAGGCACTATTCTCTGCGGCAGGCCCAGGGGGATTTCCTTTTCGAGGGAAGAGGGAGCCGCTCTCCCTTGGGTTGCAAGTCACTTCACACCTCCGCAGGCCTGAGCTCTCAACAGCAGCACTGGGGAGACGGCCTAGTGCCACAGTTCACTTGCACACATGTGCATGCACACACACATACACGCGTGCACGCACACACACCCCTCAGAACCAGCCGTAGCAGACATCTGCCATTTCAGTTGACCAGTATCTGTTTGGAGGATCCTAAGAGAGTGAAAGCTCCCCCCTTCTCCCCCAACAGAAGCTGCCTGGGGCGGATCTGCATTCCCAGCAACTAGAATAAGGACACGAAGCCCAAAGTGTGGCCAACTGGACACACCCTGCTGGGACTCTGAATCTCAAGAGTAACAGAGGCACAGGGTCAGACTTTAAATGCCGCCGCGGCAGAATGGCATCTCCTGGTGTGTGAGGGGTCATCTCCGTGGCAGAGGTGCCAGCAGGAGCCACAGTGACCAGCTGGCAGGTGGCAGCCTCCAATGTGCCACCTTGGCTGGGCCTTAACTCTCTGGGTTCCTGTCAAGCCTGTTTCTCCAGTCCCTCCGTGAACCACATGCGTCACCCGATACTTTTCCAAACAACTGCTCTGGGTGAACCGGAGTCAGTGTTTCCTCACTGATGGAACCGGGGCTGCAGCTGGGGCCCGGGCTCCCTCCCTCCAGGATCTCCTCTGTGGCCAGCCTCACAGGGCCCTCCCAGACACAGGCAGGCCCAACAACTTCCACCCTCAAGGGAAGGGCCGAGGTTCCCAGCTCTTTCCTCCAGGAGATTTCAGAGGAAATCTCTAATTAACCTATCTTTTCACACTCCAACATTCAAAGTCCTCAGGAGGGCTGTGGACAGAACCAGCATAATTGGTTTTCATTGTAATCCTATACATTTTCTTTTACGTGTTTAAAACCATTATTCTGAGAAGAAAGCATTAGTCTTGACTCGATGCCAAAGAGGCCCAGGGGACCAAAAAGGTGAGGATCCCTCTGGACTGTAGCTCTGGGCTGCTGGGGCCAGGATTCCTTCCTCCACCATGTGGGCGCTTTGCCTCGAGAGACCCCTGCTGGTCTGAGGGCCAACCCATCCTTCCCACCCGGTTCCTTCTGGAAAGAGATCCCTATTCTTTTAGGGGCCAGCTCCTCTCTGCACTCTATGCAGATAGGCGGTCCCAGCAGGAGTTGACACGTTGTCAGCTGACCTCACTCTCCAGCTACAGCTCATTGGTTAAGGAGAGGTGGGCTCTGACCCAAGCCAGGCCAACCAGGTCCTTCTCTGCAGTTTTCTTTTTCAAACTGGAACTGGGGGAACCAGTTATACTCTCCCTGGTGGGAACTCCGGAGCTGCAAGCACTCATGTTTTCTACAAAGTAGGGGAAGCCAATTTGAGAAGGAGAGGCAAGCTTAAAAGAGACAGACAGAGAGATAGAGAGAGGAGCAGAAGAGAGAAAAAAGAGGAGAAAGGAGAAGAGGGAGGGGGAGGAGAGGAGAGGAGAGTGGGGAGGGGAGGGAGCGGGCTTCATCCTAGCCCTGGTCCAGCTGTGGCCCTGCCCCCAAAGGCAATGTGGTTATTCATTGCTTCCTGGAGTTCCCCCCTTTTTGCCTCATCTAGTTAGAAATGGAGTTCATCACTGTTGTCTCATCCCCACTGAATCCTCAGGGTCTGCACAGAGCCTGGCACATAGTAGGTGTACCGTCAACATCTGTGAATGAATGAGTGTACAAACACATGCAAAAGAAGAAAGAATGTACAAGGTACAGGGAAAGTGATTAATTCAGCCTGGGGAGATGTCAGGAACTACCTGGGGTGGGAGGTGATATTCGAAGTGGGATTTGAAGGGTGAATAGGAGTTTTCTGGATAACACTTGTGGGGAAAGAGGCTAGAAAAGACAGCAGCGACTAGATTGAAAGAGGCTTAACTATCAGACTAAAACCTAGGACTTTTACAAGCAGTGGCTGACCTGGGCCTAAATCCTAAGTGTTCCTGATGACGCCAGAGCTCCATCCAGGGTGTCACCCTTATAAGTGAATGTGTGGGTGCTTAAACTGCTCTCATGTCCCTGAAATTTGGGGACTCCCAAATTTTCACCTCCCATCAGCTCCAGGCCCAATTATCCCGTGGCTGGACCTCCTCCCCCAGGCGACGGCTGTGCTGCAGGCAGACTCAAACACACCCCAAGTCAGGCTCATCCTCTGCCCGCTACCAGCCAGTGGGGAGCAGATTGCTGGCCCCATGGAAGAGAGAAGGAAACAGGTGTGGACAAGGGCAGGACTGAGCGCAACCGTGGGTCCTCCTGACCGGGTCGCACGGCTTGATTAGGACTTAGGAGGGGGGCAGTGTTTCTCCTCTCTGACCCCTGGGCCTCCTGGGGCCAGGGAGTAAATGTTGACCAGATTGATTTCTCCCACGCTTAGAAGTCAGCGGTCAGCTGCTGACCACACCGTCAATTATTCAGGCTCCCTGGGATTCCACCAAGAGCGACGGTTTAACTAAAACATGCTCTGTTGTCCTCACACCCCCAACTTTCCCTCAGAGGCCTGGGCAGGGATGGCCAGCCAGGCCAGGGCACCTCCCCGGGGAGCTGGGCAGGTGTCTGCCCAGTCCCCAATCCCACTTCCCACCCATACGTCCGGCCAGGCCTCGGAGCTCCCTTGTCCTCAGGTCTCTTGGAGGAATCCTGAGCAGAGAGGGCTGAGGGCTCAAGGGCAGAACTGGACCAGTGGCCGGACGTTTCACTTGGGTTCCACGGGACACAGAATGTTCTTGTGACCAGAGACACACACTCTGGGAGGCCGGAAGCCACCAGTCCCAGAAGGTGCACGCTGGTCCACAGGAGACTATCATTGGGAGGGAGGACTGTCCACAGGGAGAGACCCGAGCGGCCAAGGAGAAACAACCAACAGTTTAGGCGAGCTTTAAAATTTGCGAAACTCTCAATGACACACATCGTCTTGTGGCCTCAAGTCTTTTTTTGGAGCCAGGTGAGACATAATTAAAAATGAGTTCACTCAACAGTCGTTTATCAAGCAGGCCAGGCCCTTTGCTAGGTGCTACCAGATGAGGTAAGAGTATCGATTCGGCCCTCAAGTAACGGTAATACTGAACACTAATAAAAAGGAGATTTACAATGGCTCAGGGATGGTATTAAACCATCCTGAAGCACCGCTCAATGTGCTTCAGAGCACACCACCCTCACAGGACTCAGTGAGGCAGCTGTTCATTCTGTCTCCATTTTACCGGCGGGGAAAAATTTTACAGATGAAGCACAGAGAGGTACAAACACGTGTCCAAGCTCACACAGCCTGTGAAAATGATGGAGCCGGAATTTGAACCCAGATGCCTGACTTCCAGCCCCTGCTCTCAGCCTCTCTGTTCAAAGTCATACGAGAGGGGTCAGTCGAGGTTAGGTAGATGATCACATAATTAATGATCTAAGGACAGAGCTGTGGAGGAGAGATCAGAACTAATCTATCCAGGTTGACCAGTCAGAGAAGCCTTTCTAGAAGTGTCTTTTGAGCTGGGAGCTTCCTGAAGGGGAGTTTGCTGGGGGTGGAATCTAGGGAAAGAGGAACACTCCCAGCAGGGAGCATTGTCAGTGTGGAGACCCTGCAGCTCCAGCGCCCTGGCCTGTACGCCCTCTGGGAGGGTGCCTGCCACTGGCTGCACCTCAGCCGCCCCTTAGCTGTGCCCACTTCCTCTTTGTCGGCTGTATTTTTAGATCTCTTACTTTCCGATGACATGGGTCTGCTAGCGGGATCTGGGCCTTCCTCGTCGGTTTTTTATAGTCTCCCACAGCGGGTGTCTCGATCACAGCCCCTCCCTCGGAGACGGGAGCTGCAGGGCTGACTGGAAGCCTGGCTTCTTCTCTGATGCTGGTATTGACTGTTCCACTTGGGCCCCAGGGGCCCACACTCCAATGCCAGTCGACACCAGTCTCCCCACCTCTCACCCTTCCGTCTGCTTTCTCTCCTTCTTCCCGCCAGTTCAATTCCACTCCACTCCAAGATCCCTATCTGTGCCAGACGCTGGGCTGTGCGCTGGCAAGACAGCCCGAAAAATGACACAAGCGCCTGTGGCATCGTACGTGCTAGAGTCAGGGTGAGCGTAGATGACTCATAGCGCAAACTGGGATGTGTGTGAAAGTGAAAGGGGTGCTATTAATAATTATGCTGGGACCACAGTGTAAACTCCAGGCAAATAAGATGCAAGGCCACCCCAGTTAAACAGAAGGATGGAAAAGGGAGGAGAGACTTGACAACTACAGGACAGGGAGAAAGGAGTCTCATGAGGGGTACTGGCATGTGCAGGGATGTGGCAAGTTTGGAGGCAAGCAGAAAGTTTATGGTGGAAATAACCCGGTATATGGGCCGTGCAGAAGGGGTAGAAGGAGAGTCCAGAGTGGACTCCAGCTGGGAAAAGATGGACAGTTTGGTACAACTAGAACAGGATGGCAAAAACATTGCAGCTCTGCCACTCCTGGGCCCATGGCAGGCATCACTAGTTGATTCCAGCACTCTCCTTCCCAGTGATTCAACCTCACAGCCCTCAACACTGTGCTGGGGGCCAGTCATGACCAATTGTCAGCTGCAAAGTAGATGAAATCTATTTGCCATGGGGGTCTAAGCAGTGGGTGCAAGTGCTAGAGATGAGGCTGGGGTTCAAACTGAGAGGCCTAGAATGCGGGAAAAAGGAGCTGGAATATTCTTCAGGTACTAGGGAGCCATCAGAGGATGTTGGGGGAGGGATATAACTAAGACTAAAGTTTTGGGAGTTTTAGAAAGGTTGCTCCATTGGTGGAAGGAACTGGGGCAGGGAAACCAGTGAGGGGAGTGCCGATGTCCAGGGAGAGAGGATGGGGCCCCACAGGACTGGGAGCAGAGAAGTGGGTCTGACAACTAAGGAGACGTCGTGGGGCAGGGAAAAGATGAGGGAGACGGCTGGGATGACTCCTGGACTTCTGGGTTCCTGCGAAGACGCAGTTGGTCAGGGAGGGGTAACAGCACGGGGGGAGGTCTTGATAGGAATCTTTGTCCAGAGGTCACTGCACAGCGCAGTATTACCACAGAGAGGGCCGCCGGCAGACTCCATGCCCCTAAGGGGGAGAGAGGATTTGACCACCAGAGCATCAGAGCCTGGAGAAATTCGCCATTCAAGGGGATGAACAGTTAAAAATGTCTTCCCCATCACTCGGGACCCTGCAGAGGAGAGGAAGGGACTGTGATGGCTCCCGCTACAAAGCTGAGAAATGGGAGCCCGAGAGAACTGATTGTAAAGTTTGGGGGTGACTGCAAGAGGGGAGACTGACACGTCATTCCCTGGTTGGATGTCTGCTTAGCCATGGGCTGCCCCCTGCCCCAGGGCCATATGAGAGGGACATGGTGGCACAGTGCAGGGTGAGGCCCTCTGGGTTCTGCTTCCCTGGAGGCATGGAGGTTGAGCAAAGCAGAGGCTGTGTGGGCCGAAGGGGCTGGAGGCTGCAGGCTTGCTGCCTCCCTCTCAGCCTGGGGCCCGAGCCTCAGCACTGGAGGGATGTGGCAGAGGTACCAGCTGAGGGGTATCTGGAAGGTGTAGCTTTGTCTGGGGACAGTGGGGACGGGAACCACCAGTGTCTGGGGGAGGGGCAGGAATGGAGTCTGTGGTCAGTGGGTCCTTCAGGGGTCTCTACCTTCTACCACCAGAACTACAGGCTTGAGCTAAGTCCACCTCAGCCGTGCCTCACAAAAGAGGAACCACAGCCAGGCCAGAGGTCACTAGAGGGGCAGCCATTTTCCTCCTTCTGCCCCAACCCCAACCCCAGGGTGAGCCCAGAGAAGGGGGGTGTGTGTGTGCATGTGTGACAGAGAGACCACCTTGCCCTCCACAGTGCTCCCCAAAGCACACATACACACTCATACACACACACGCACTCTTACACACACACTTGGAGCCCCTAGAGCTCCCACTTAGCTTACCTCGTGGAGGAAGAAAAAAGTTTGGAGTCAAATCTGAGCCTGAGTTTTAAAACCACCAAGTCTTACCCAGAACGAGACTCCTTTTATAAACAAAAGCATCTGAACATTAGAAACTGGACGAAGGTCCCCTGAAAGGTGCCTAACTCCCCACTGGGAGGGGGGTGCACAGAGCTCAGTTGTAGCCGTTATTAGAAAAATAAAACTGCGTCATAATTATAACCCGGTGAGCTGAAAGTCCTTCCTAAGCAGTTTAGAAAGGGAACACAAAAAGGGGATCGGATGTGAAGGGGGGAAGATGTTTAGAAATAAAGACAGAACGAGGCTCTGCTGAATGTATTAGGCAGAGGGACCCAGGAAGGTCTGACACCTGTCTCTCCACTCGCCCCTCCCCCCGAGATCTGGGGAAGCCATATCGAACACCGAACACTGGGTCGCTGAGTTGTTGGTTGGGCTTCTGCCCTCTACTAATGTCGAGCCCTCCCTGGGACGTCTTAAGGCCCAAGGAGGCCTCTCCCCCCCAAGGCCCTACCTACATCCCCGGATCCCGTCACATTAAGTGGGACAAGTGGGACAGGCCTGATGCAGCCAGGTCTTGCGAACGACCTTCCAGAGGGGAAAGAGCCCGCAGAAGCAAGCCTCTGGCCCTCGCTTAGCCTGCCACTTCTGCAGCATGGGTGGAAGAGGGTGGAAGGTAGCAGAGGGGGAGCGCGGATTCGATGGAAAAGGAAGAGGAGAGAGCATCTGCAGAGACACAGAGACTCACTCAGCAAGTGTGGGATCACATTCTGCCCGGCGCCCACCCACTGGTCTGACCCTACCCCTGAGGTCTAGCTCTCTTCTTGGTGGGGGGAAGACAAGCAGTGGGGTAAAGACAGGAGACCAGCCTCCCCTAGCTCCTCGTGCCTCGGGCTGCAGAGAGGAGCAGAGCTGGGGGCCTCTGAATCTGAGGGGTCTGTGGCCATCCCGAGGGTGATGGCTACAAGGTCGGGGTGGCAATCTGGAAGTCATCAGGCGGAGGGGCTGCTGCAACCCTTGGAGTGAAAGCAGAGAGGATGAGAAGAGGCAGCAAGGAGAAGGGAGGCTTGGAGAAGCCAGCATTTAGAAGAGCGAGGAAAAGCTGCAGGAACTTGCCTAAGAGCCTGCAGCTGCCGGGTCCTGGCCATCCCCTGGGCCACGCCCCACTCTGGCAGCTGACAAGATGCATCCCTCAGCTGCTCTGGGAAACCTAATGGCCTGAGTCTGCCCAGGTGGGCAGCGGGACAAATTTACCTCCCTGCTTCCTGCCATCCCCCTCCTCCAGCTTTGGCTACTGTTCAGGGCCGCCTCTGAGGCAGCCCCCTCACCCCCGCGCCCAGGCCAGCACTGCCATCCCACCCAGGCCCAGCATTCCAGACTTTCTCCTCATCAGAGTTTACCAGCCTGGTCTCATTACCTCTCCGGAGTCCCTCGCCAAGTTCTGCCTGGCTCCCTGCCCTCTCTTCTCCTCTCCTTATAGCAGGAGCCAGTTGAGGCCTGTCTGCAGACATAGCCACAGGCCAGGTCCTTGGACCCTTCCCACCTCAGGCAGCAATGCCAGCCCACTGTCCCTTAGAAGTTCGTGTGCATCTGTCCTCACACCTAGTTCTGGCAGCAGGGTTTATGCTCTGGGTCAGAGACTGGGCCCCAAGGACTCTGAGCCCCTCCCCAGTCTCTCTCTCATATATGTCATCAGCCCACCCCATGCCAAACACAAACTGGAGTCTTAATCTTTGAACCCCAGCCCAAGGTTAGAGCAGCAGGGGATGCAGAGGGGGAACTGATATTTATTTTCAGGGCATGGGGGCTTTCTAAGCCTCAGTTAGCTATCCGTATGTAACCCATTTGTCAGTGGGGGGCCTCCCATCCCTTACGATTTCAAACATATCCGTTCAAATCCATATTCCACACCCTGTGGAAATACAAAGATACCCCCAAAACTTTGGATGGTTCTGCAATGGTTTGCATTTTCACACTCTCCTCTGCATCAGAGCTGTGCCTTCTGCTAAATTCATTTAGTGTCTGTGTTGGGCCACTGACCCAGGCCTGCTGTTTTGTTTTTACATAGCTCTGGCTGAGATGTGGAATGCAGCCAGCACCTTCTGCTGTTTCCACCAGAAACCCACCACAGAGGTATTTGTGTGCAGGACAGGCAGAGGGAGATTTAGGGAAGTCACAGGGGTGGTTTCAAGTGCGACAATGAAAACAACTTCGAATGGACATTGGACAATCCTGTTCTTAAAAGTTCTTCGGTCAGCCCACCCTTGTGAAGTTTTCTTGGGGCCCTTACCTCCCGCAGTTCTCCAGCCTCGTCCTGGCTCTTTTCTTCATCTGCCTTTTTACATCTCTCTTCCTTAAGAGGCAAAATGGTGCAGTAGTTCAATTCAAGAGTCCTTCTTCCAGATGGCCTAGCTCTGGGAGAAGTATCAGCTGTGTGATCACAGGAGAGTTACCTAACCTCTCTGAACCTCAATTTCATCTGTAAATGAGGATGATAAAAGTCAAAATAGGATTGGTGGTGAGGATTTCATAAAGCAATCTGTGGGAAGCAGTCAGCAGAGTGTTAATAATGTTAGCTATCATTATTATATTATTATTTACCCCTCCAAATTCTTCTTACTCCCCTGGGCAGAACAAGTCAACCTCCTCAGCCCCTATCCCAAATCCTACCCATCTTTGCATATTCAAGCCCAGGAAGGGCTGGGGCACAGAAAGGAGCGTTCTTGGAACAAGATGGACCCTCCTTTGAAGGCAGTCAGCTGAGGTTGTGAAGGGGCTCCATCAGATGTGAACCGGCCTAACAGGGACCTCACACTGGGAGATACTAAACTAATCTTCTGCCCTTCCTTCCTCTTTCTCTCCACCTCCCCACCCCCATCCCCACTGGGCTGAAAGTAAACAGCTGTGACTGGCAGGGGCAGATCCGAGGCCTCCTGGCAGTCAGCCCCCAAATTTACCAAACTATTGGCAAAGAGATGGTGTCTTCCAGGAGTTTCTACACAGCCTGGAGTTGCTGGGCCATCTTTTCCACCTCATGGGAAAGCCTACCTAAGAATGAAGCCAATACAAAGGAAAGGACAGCTTCTTGGTGACGTCATTCAAAGTCCTAAATCCCACCTACCTGGATTCAGTCCTTGAGTTTTCCAATGATGTAAGCCCAGAAATCCCCCTTTTCTTGTTTAAGCTAATTTGATTTGAGCTTCTGTCACATAGAATTGATTGAATGTTGACTAATAGAGAAATTTAACCCAAAAAATGGGGTATATTATATAACAAGGGGAAATGTCATGGAATCCACTGCAGGAAGTATAACTAGAAATCACAGGAATGGAAAGGCTGCCTCTGATTTGTCAATCTCTCTCTCTCTTTCTGAGCCCATACAACCTCTCATTTCTGCTTTTTCTCGGCATAGCTGCTTTTTTTTTAACCCTCTGTAGACCGGTGTTTCTTCTGACTCATTGGCTGATCTAGAAAAGATCTCAGGGCTGATTATCATCGGCCCAGGCTGGGTCACGTGACCACCCTGAACTATTCATTGTGATTGGTCAAACGGTGGGCCGTTATGTACCTCTGGATCTGAGGATTAGGGTTAGGCCCGCCTAAACCAAACAGACTAAAAGAGGGTGAAGAGTGGTTTAAAAAAAAATCAGAGTGCTCTTTTCAGAACACTGGGGAATGAATGCCAAATACTGCTGCCCACCCCCCACAAAAGGTCTAACGTGGAGTTAAGCGAATTTCTGTTTTACAAACCAACCAAGCCCTCAGTAAGCTCAGGGCCAGTCCCTAGTCCCAGAGGAGCAACTCTAGTGGAAACTTTCACCTGTGACAACAGCTTCTGGAGAGCTGGCTTTGCTTGGACTTTCTTTAATCTCTTTTCAAATCACACCACATGCCAGAGGGGAACTGGTTCTGACTCTGGCCCCAGTATGAAGCCCTCCCATGGCATCCCATGGCATCCTTTGAGTTATAAATGCCCCATTACACATGGAATCATTATGGGGAGGTGGGGGAGTTCCAAGGAGAGCAGCCAGGGAGTCAGGGAGGGATTGTGGAAGAGGTCGCCTCTGAGTAGGGCCTTTAAGGATGGGTAAGAAGAACTTCTGCAGGCTCTAATCAAGAAGACAAATAGGGGCCAGCCCTGCGGCATAGTGGCTAAGTTCGCATGCTCTGCTTCAGTGGCCTGGGGTTCGCAGGTTTGGATCCCGGGCAAGGACCTACACATGGCCCATCAAGCCACGCTGTGGCAGGCATCTCACATATAAAATGGAGGAAGATTGGCACGGATGTTAGCTCAGGAACAATCTTCCTCAAAAAGAAAAAGACAAATAGTCACAAGTGTTGGCTAGGATGTGGAGAACTTGGAGCTTTCATGAACTGCTGGTGGGAATATAAAATGGTGCAGGCACTTTGGAAAAGTCTGGCAGGTCCTCAGAAAGTTGAACATAGAGCTACTATATGACCCAGCAATTCCACTCCTAGCTATATACCCAAGAGAAATGAAAACATATGTCCACAGAAAAATTTGTACGTAAATTTTCACAGCAGCACTATTCATAATTGCCAAAAGGTAGAAACAACCCAAATGGCCACCAACTGATGAGTGGATTAATAAAATGTGGTGTACCCTCACTACGGGAACAGCTTTCCAGGAGGGGTTTCAGCAATGGGGCCAAGGGTAACAACAGGTGACTCTGTCCCGTGTGTTCACGGTGACTGTACCTGCTGTGGGTTTTTGCCTCTGCCCCTCAGATTCTGTCTGTGTCGCATTGTGGCTCAGACACCACACTCCTCCTTTTCCCAAAAGCATCAGAGGGCCAGATCCCAGCAGGCTGTCTTGTGAAAAGATCAGAGACAGGCAGATCTGGGTATAGACATACAACAGAATCCATCATGGACACTAATCCATGGACATCCATCATGGTCCACCAATCCATGGACATCCACCACAAAAGGGAATAAAGTACTGATATGTTCTACAACAGGGATGAACCTTAAAAATCTTAAGTGAAAGAAGCCAGACACAAAAGGCCATATTTTGTATGATTCCACTTATATGAAATGTCCAGAATAGGCAAATATATAGAGACAGAATGTAGCTTAGAAGTTGCCCATAGCAGGGGAGTTCAAGGGAAAATAGGAGTGCTGCTAATGGGGATTTTTGGGGAGGATGTTGAAGATTGATTGTAGTGATGGTTGCATCATCGTGAATGCACTAAAAAACATTCGACCGTTATATTTTAAATGAATGAATTGTATGGTATGTGAATTATATCTCAGTAAAGCTATTACCAAAAAAGAAAAGAAAAAATATATATGAGGAGGTAGGAGAGGAGAGGCAGGGGCTGCATGTCAGCCTGGGATCTCTGGGATGTGAGGGCCAACTGTCCGAAAAGCTGGCCCCCTCCCCACCCCGCACACCTCGGATTCCAAAACAAGTGAAGGGAATTTGGGGCCTGAGAGTCCAGCCTTGGGGCGTAAAGGAAAATACTCAAATTAAAAATGGGAGAGAAGAGAGGCTATCTCTGCGGCCCAAGGTGGGCAGAAGCTCCACAAGGACGCGGATAGTCCCGGAGGCTGGACTCCAGCCTGGGGCACGGGCTCAAGCGTTGGGAGAGATCTGGCGGCACAGCCCTCTGACGCCTGCCAGCTCCCTCCGTGTGAGGACCTGTAGTTGGCACCATCGTGGTGTCTGCTTGGCTCCGGAGGACTCCTCTGCATCATTGACCACTCTCTGTCTACAGAGGTGGGCTCCCAGCAGCCATGTCTGTACAACGTCGCCCTTGGCTGTAGCTGAGTGTCCAGGTATGGACCTCTGGCCCCAGCTGGGTCAGTCATGGTCCCTTCTGTGGAATTTGGGATCTCGACAGAGGAAGAGGCCTTCTCTCCAAAGCACTGGGATGTGGGAACTGCGGGACTGTAGACAGCCACGCTCCCCTCCCCTCAACTCCCTGTGGGCAGGGCTGGAACGAAGACGAAGCGGGTTCCCCAGCCCGTCGGAATGTTCCCAGTTCCCAGTGGAAGTACCTCTAAAGTGAAAGCACCTGGGAACCCTTTGGGAGCCTAGAGGAGATGTGTGTGCCTCGTGGGGAGAGCCCTGAGCCACCAGAGCAGCAGCGAGCAGGGAGGAGGGAAGCAGGGAAGGAGGACTCTAGATGAAGCCGCGCTAATGGGGGGAGGCGGAGCGAGCAGCCTCCCTGGAGAGGGTTTGGGATTCAAAGACTGCGACCATTGATAACCACTGCCTTTGGCCAACATGTTCCAGGGAAGCAAAACTTCCACAAATAGTGACGTAATGGCCTTGTTAATGTTATCAATAATTAATATTTTGTGCCAGCACAGCCCATTATACTTTTCAAAGCACATCCACCTCCACAATCTCATTTGCCCCTTCTCCATCTTTGTTGGGGGAAGACATATTAGGCTGAGAGCAGCCATGTCCAGAACCCCTTCTAGAATAAAGCTACTGTGTGACCCACCCCTTGCACAATGGGTTAGGGTGTGCATCTGACACAAAGGCAGGTACCCCACAGGTGGGTCAGCGGCCTCGGAGGCAGCACGGCACGAGAGCAGTTACGGTACGGATAACAGTGACCCACTAAGCCAACCCGGCCTCTCTCTCGGGGTTTGAGAGTGAGCCTCCGGAGGGAGGCAGGGCTCTGTTTTTGCAAGGGCAGATGCCAAGAGACACAGAGGGAAGGCAGTAAGCAGAAGCCAAGAATAAATAAGTGGCAGCAGCAGCCAGGAGGTGGGACGAAGATAAGAGAGAGACGTTAGTGGGAGAGGAAGTAGCAGGATGGCTGAGACAGAGGAGCCAACAGAGGGGTCCCAGAGCAGAGAACAGCTCTGGCAGATGGCACCCCACAGCCTGGACCCTAGAACAGCCCTGGACCCTAGAACAGCCCTGGACCCTAGGGTGTTCCTGGCCCTGAACACCATTCCCCTCTCCCCAGAACGTAGTCAGGGGGCTCAGAGTCCTGTCTTGCTAATTGTCACAGGTATCCTCAATAGGAGTCCTCAATGGGAGCCACCTGAGTCGTCCCTATTCCTTAATGCAGCCACATACCCTGCATTGAGCCCCTGGCCCAGCAGGAGGAGGCTATTCCTGGCCAAGGTCAGCACATCTCCACAGGCTCCTTCCTCTTCTCTGCCCCTGAACTCTCCTCCCCAGAGGGGTTCCTGTCAGGGGCAGACTACAGGAAGGACCCTGCTGTAACGTGATACCAGTAGGAATGTCACCTGTCTTCAGCCTGGACAGTTCAGGAATATGTCTCAGGAGAGGTGACCAATGCCTCGGTTAGTAGCTGACCAATTAAGTCAAGGCACGATGAAGGCACCCTTCCTTCGTCCTTCCTTCCCTTTCTCCCTCCCATTTTCCTCCCTCCTTCCTGTTCTCCCTCATTTTTTCCCTCCCTCCCTTCCTTCCTTTGTTTCCTCAAGAAAACTTGACTCTCAAATGGTCACTTGCTGACTTAAGCACCCAGCAGAGTCTGGCTGGTGTCTTTGTCCCAATTCTAAATTCAATCTGATTGGCCCAGTTTGGGTCAGGTGACCACCTCTGGTCCAATCAGCTAGGGCCAAGGGAACAGGGTGGTGTAGTATTAATATGGCCGCTGCAGCTCAACTGTGGTGCTGCCGCTTCTGTGATGCAGACTAAGACCTAAAATGTGTGCGCTAAACAGAGAGAAATAAAATCAGGGGACAGGAATTCACCATTTTAAAATTGACATATGTTGAGGGCTCTAGAAACAGTACGTACGTTCTATTTATTTCAATCCTCACAGCAACTCTGTGAGATA